AGTTAACACATTTTAAATCAACTATACTTCAACAAAATTTAAAAAATAAATGCAAGCACACTCAAAAGAAAAATATATGAAAGTGATCTTCCTTTGAAAATTGATCAACCAGCTGATCACAATGGTTAAGTCCATTGTTTAGGGGTCTCTCTTTCTTCTATGAGGATTAATCAGTGACCAAGTATTTTTTAAAGTGCCAAATAAAATGCTAAATAAAACATTCTTTGGAAGTGCTAGCCCTCAGACTCAACTCGCACCAAATGCTATGCCTGGCCCCAGCCTAAGTATTTTCCAAACCTGTGTAGAATGTCAAAGGAAACATAAAGCATTAGGTTTTACTAACTCAATTACAGTGAATCTCAGCATAAAACAGATATCTCAGAAGTAATCTACCATAGATTAAAGTACATGTTAAACTTTTATGACATTAGACAGGAAGAATTTGTGACCCAAATTTTTATTAATTCAAAGCATTCCCTGAAACACCATTTCTTATGATCCTCCTGCTTTTACTTTCAAATTTGTGTTTCCAAGGTTCCAAATGATTGACTTTTCTAGACTGCCAATGAAGGAGCTAGAATTTGAGGATCTCAATTCCTGTTGTACAGGTAAATCACCGGTGGAGATTTTAAACCAGCATTTGCCCACCTCCAGAGATTCTTTTTTTTTTTTACACTTTTTTTTTTGAGCTTAACAGTTTACTTTGATTTTGACTTTTAAAAAATACTTTTAAGCATTGTTTTTTAAAAAAAAAAAAAACGTGATTTTAAGAGCACCAGAGCAATAATGAGATTTTTTTTCCATTTCAATTTCTCTGATTTCTAAAGAGAATCTAAAACTTATCAAGGAACCAGTGGAGACATTTTTTGGTTTTTTTTTTGATTAATAGTTTTTTGTTTTATTGGAGTACCGTTGCTTTACAGTATTGTGTCAGTTTATACTGTACAGCAAAGTGAATCAGCTATACATATACATATATCCCCTATTTTTTGGATTTCCTTCTCATTTAGGTCACCACAGAGCACTGAGTAGAGTTCCCTGAGCTATACAGTAGGTTCTCATTAGGTATCTATTTTATACATTGTATTAATAGTGTATATACGTCAATCCCAATCTCCCAGTTCATTCCAGCACCCCCTTCCCCTTGATATCTATACATTTATTCTCTATGTCTGTGTCTCTATTTCTGCTTTGTAAATAAGATTGTCTATACCAATTTTTTCAGATTCCACATATATGCATTAATATGTGATATTTGTTTTTCTTTCTGACTTACTTCACTCTGTATGACAGTCTCTAGGTCCATCCATATCTCTACAAATGATCCAATTTTGTTCTTTTTTATGGCTGAGTAGTATTCCATTGTATATATGTACCACATCTTCTTTATCCATTCCTCTGTTGATGGACATTTAGGTTGCTTCCATGTCCTGGTTATTGTAAATAGTGCTGCAATGAACATTGGGGTGCATGTGTCTTTTTGAATTAAGGTTTTCTATGGGTATATGCCCAGTAGTGGGGTTGCTGTGTCATATGGAAGTTCTATTTTAAGTTTTTTGATTTCATTTTCCTAGAGTGGAACCCTGCTCTTGGGGCTTTTAAAAAGTCCCAGGAGACACTAATGTTGAGACAGAGCTGAGAACCACTGACCTAGATGAGAAGGCAAATTGTGGTTTTGAGTTAGTTGTCTTTAAGTGGATTTCATAAATCAGAGGACTTGTAAAAATGATGATCATATTAAATCAGATAAATCTGAGGTCTCTGTTTTTAAATGAATTACTGAGCTATTTGAAAAACTAGTGTCTACAAATAGCAGGATCAAATGCAAGAAACAAGAGTCTGGCAGTAAGAAAGGGAGACTGCTATCTTTAGGAAATGAGAGAAAACCAAGAGGGAAATTCTCAGATCTGATCAAGCTTCTTCCATGAGTGTTTATTTGCACTGGATTTGTAACTAGCTTTACTCCTTAGTTCATATGGCCATAAGACAAGAATTGCTTTATAAAAACAGGTAGTTTTCTTGTTTGGTGCTTTATAAAAACAGGTAGTTTTCTTATTTTGTGGGTAAATACATATCGAAAAGAGGGTTTGGTAAAAATACATGGGTAAATATTACAGTCTGATCACATATCATAAGGAATTGTAAAAAGTTGTTAAATTGCTCCCAAATGTGCCAGTATAACTAAGAAGTAAAACCCAGTATACTAGGTGGATAAAATGGTAGTTTAATTATTTATGTTTTTTTAATTTTTTTTAGTTTGATATATATTGATTTATTTTTATTGAAGTACAGCTGATTTACAATGTTGTGTTAGTTTCAGGTGTATAGCAAAGTGATTCAGTTATATATATATATATATATATATATATATATATATACTTTTTCAGATTCTTTTCCATTAGAGGTTATTACAAGATATTGAATATAGTTCCCTGTGCTATACAGTAGGACCTTGTTGTTTATCTATTTTACACATAGTAGTGTGTATCTGTTAATCCCAAACCCCCAATTTATCCCCCCTCTTTCCCCTTTGGTAACCTTGCTGGTTTTCTATACCTATGAGTCTGTCTTTGTTTTGCAAATAAGTTCATTTGTGTCAAGTTTTAGATTCCACATATAAGTGATATCACATGATATTTGGCTTTCTCTGTATGACTTACTTCACTCAGTATGACAATCTCTAGGTCCATCCATGTTGCTGCAAATGGCATTATTTTGTTCTTTTTTATGGCTGAGTAATATTCCATTTTGTGATTTTTTGTGTGTGTGTGTGTGTGTATACATTTCTTTTAATACTAAGAATAACTCACTATCTCTCACAATTGTTAAACTTCAAACTGTAGGGGTCTTTATGGTATTACTTTACATATTCTAAACATGAGAGTTGAGATCATTTTTTCACAATCTTATCCACTACCTTAATGTTAAGTTTTATCTCTAGGATTGTGATAATTGGTGCCCAAAAAGTGCAAATACTACATCTACTCTGTTCTTCTCAGCAATGGAGTCTTTCACATTACATAAGATTCTCTTAATTCAGCATTTATTATCTGAACCAGATGCTTTTGTTATTTAAACAACCAACTGACTTTCTGTTACTGTGTAGAAACATTCTTATTTCTATTTTTAGTCTATGTAAGCTTGAGCCAAAATTATGATGTTTGAAAAAGAACATTTGATTATTTTTTAACATTCATCAAAAATGTACAAAATTTATTCAAACTTTCTCCTTTTTTTGGAACTACATATTTGTCCAATTGTTTTACTATTACACAATTTGCCACCATCACAATGAAAGAGCTGGCACATTTGACAGAGTTAATCTCCTTAATATATAAAGGGAGTTTACAAGTCAATAATAAAAATATTACTAGACCAGTAGATAAATGCTTAACATGATGCAAAAGCAAAATAGACAAGAATAACAGAAAAAGACAGAACTTTTAAATGCAAATAAAAATGAAAGATAATTTCCTCTTTTAAACTGCAAATATTTTAAAGCAAGATTTTAAAGGGGAAAAAGATTTAAATAGTATAGATAGAGATTTAGATAAAGATAGCTGGATAGAGGAAAGTAGATTGTTTAAGAGCATAGGCCCCAGGCAGTCATATCTGGATCCCATTCCTGACTGTACAGACACTTGTCAGCTATTTGACTTTAGGCAATAAATGGATTTCTTTTGGCCCCAGTTTCCTCATCTGTAAAATGGGAACAATAATACTTAACTTACAGTGTTTTGTGAAGATTAAGTAAAATAATGCATCTAAAGTGCATAACATGTAATAAACTCTCAATAAATTGGCAATTATAATAATCCTCAATGCTGACAGATATATAGTACGCAGAAGCAGGTATTATAACAAGTTTCTGGGAGGGTGAATTACTACAGTTGTTCAGCAATGCAACTTGGCTACATGTATCAACAGTTTCCCATATGTCCATACTCATTACACCAATAATCCTGGTTTAAAAAAAAAATCAGAGATATGGTCAAGGATACAAATTCACCCCTATTCATAACATGCCTTTATATTTTAATGACTAAAGTATAGCAGAGAGACACATCGGTCCTGTATGATACGTTTCAAAATTTGCAGAAATAGGGAAGTCACTTTATGAAATATGCCCTAAATTGTGGAAAATATGGTTGGCAAAATATTCAGATTTCATTTAGAACCTTATTTGGAATTGTATTATTCTTATTGCTCTTTTGTATTATTATTATTTTTTTCTAAGCTTAGAGGCTACAAAACTGAGCAGGCCTCATTTGTGAGGGTATCTGGAATGAATGAATGAGCTCACTTTTTACCATCTTAAAGATAAGTCCTTTAAAAAGCATTCTTTTTTCCATATTTACCACTTTTTCTGAAGGGATATAGAAGAAGAAAACATTGTTCAGTTATTCTTGCTCTTAACACAAAATTTAAATTTTTTTACAAAACATTTTCGTGTCTCTTTGGCATACCATTTATAAAAATAAAAAGGTTTTTTGCATTTATTTTTATCTGTTAGCTCAAAATGTGAAAGTGGTTAAACATTGCATGAAATTCAGAGGTATGTTTGAGATGGCACACTCTGGTCTGTATGCCACCCGCCATATGCAAAATTCACTTGGGGGATGGGAAACTGAGCTACCATGAGGTCCTGAGACCTCTGACTCAGAAGACACATATAAGTATTATTGGATATCCATTGATCTTCTAGAAAAAGAAGACAACAGTGGTTTCACATATGAATCCAAAGAGAAAATCACGAAGACAGAGGGGATAGAAGTTACTTTGTGGCCAAGGTGCTACACACATGGGGACCTCTAGTACAACTTCCACATTGAGAAGCAGCAAGAATTTACTCATGTGACTATCAGAGTAGGCCAGTTCATTCTTTTTTTTTTTTTTAACTGATTTTATTAATATTTTTAAAAAATAAGATTGGCTTATTTCTACAACCTAATGTCACATGGAAACAGATAACCAGATCTCCAATTGTATCTCCCATTTACCTCTTTGGAATCAAGAGTTTCGTGTTCCGGAATAGCCATCATTGGATGACTCAACTTCACAGAAAAGATGCCCAGGAAGTGAACAGGGATAGAAGTAAGGAGAGATAAATATTTAAATTTCATTTAAGTTGACAGTTAAATGATGATGTAAGTATATTATCGCTGATCATATTCTACCAATGTAAACATTAAGATTTGATTGTTATTAAAAACAAAGGAAGATATTCTTAACATAGAAAAAAATTTTAGCAGATGGTGAATCCTTGGAGCCTAAGACCACATCTTATTTATCTCTGTGTCCCACATAAACTCTAACAGTGTTTGGCACACAACATAGACAGTTATTAAATGTTTATTGAATGAATGAATTGTTAAAACACACTGGCAGTTATCAGAGAGAGGAAACAAAGTTAAATTTATGTTGCCACTCTCACAATAGCTCTCAAATCGAAAAGCTCCAAAGCAAAAGAGACAAATCACGCTTAGACCTGCAATGCAGATGCATCTGTAGTGAACGCTTAAGTGAAATGTAAAACATTGTGCATTATTGTAAACATTAAGAATCTCAAAACACAAGGACTTCATAAACATTGCAATCTTACCAGATGACACTATTATCATGCAGTTTACCACACAGTGACACTTTAACAGAGGGAGGTTCTTTTGTTTATATAGGAATTTTTATTATTGCATGGGTCTTCTGAGCACTGTACATACACTTAAACCTATTCAGACAGAAGAAAAGTCATAGATATGCAAGCAAAAGAGACAGAATGAGGGACACAGACAAGGAGAAAACAATCATTTATAATAAATCTGCTTACCCCCTTTACTTTTTAACCATCTCTCCTCACTCCAACATTAGAGTAACCACAATACCTGATTTTACTGGAGCATCCCCAGTTTCTATAACTATCCTGGGCAAATCCGGGCTGTGGAAATAATTGGCCCCCTTTTACTCTCAACCTGGTCCTGATTTGATCAATAAATCATCGGATCAGTGATCTGCCCCTGATGCTCCAGGGTGATTCAGGGGGTCCCAGCAATGCACCCTTGGCCCTAGGAGGACATCACCAGAGGCTGCTGGGGAGGCCAAGGAGGTCCCATCTCACTTTCCCTCTGTTCTAGCTGATTTTCAAGAAAGGAGCCTGTTTTCATTTAAAGCTAGAGCTTCATTAAATTCCAACCATTAAACTCTGTCCCAACTATGAAATTCTTGGAGTGTCATAACATCAGGGATCCCAGCTTCCTGAGACCATTACTTTAAATAGGAGCATGATCTGTCCCTAAGCCAACTAGAGATTCAAATCGTTTTCCAAAAATCAGCTGAAAGCACCTACTTTCTCCTGTTCATCAGGGTCCCCTGAGATTGTAAACCTGGCTTAGGATCAGATGCTATGTACCCCTTCAAACTTCAGACCAAGACAATTGGTCCTAGCGACAGCAAAATCTTTAGCATACCTAGGCTAAATGGTATGATAATTCTATGAATCATTGAAGTTTGTACCATGGCAAATCCCCATTCTCCTAGTCTCCTAAGATAGAATAGAATAAACATCCTAAAATTTGAAAATATTGTTGCCCCAATAAAATATTCAACTGAGATTAGAAAAGCAATTGAGTAATTATGTGATATCTATTTTACATTCTATCCCATCTTTCCAATATATGTATTCATTCATTTAAATCCATTTTATTCTAACCTTCGATTTCAAAAACTATGTATTAACTATGCTAACCAACAAAAGAGAACAGCAAATGACTGATCCTAATTAATTGTTAATCCCCAAATCATTTATATTTGGCTTTGGAATGTTTTCCTCTATTTATGATATTGGGTCCCAATAGGTTTGCTTTCTTATTATCCTCAAGGTGACCAAAAACATTACATAAAATGTGATACTGTTAATGGAGTTAGTCATAGTAATTTATTGTGTACCCACATGATAAATTCGTTATATGTATTTGTTTATTTAGTGTTGACAGCAACCTAGTGAGGTGAGCGCTAATTTTACCCTGATTCACAGATGAGGAAACAAAAGCACCAAGAGGCAGGATAACTTCTTCAAGGTCCAGAGCTAGTAAGTGGCAGAGTCATGACTGGAATCCAGAGTGACAGTCTCTGGAGACCGTTCTTTCAAAACAGTAGGAAGTGGTAGCATGTCACTGGGAATAAGCTCGGGAGACAGGAGCAGGGAGACAGATGGAGGGAGTGGTGTGTGTGCCATTTTGCAGAAGGGAAAGCCATGTGTAAGAGTGTCAGAGTCAGAAGCAGTTTGGAGTGGTTGGTGTAGCTGGTGTCTCCATTCAGGAGACACAGACAATGAAGCTCGTATGTCAGACGAGGAGTCTGGGATTCATTCTCTAGGCAGTGAGAAACCACTGAATCTCCAAGAAAGAAGGGGACATGTGCGATCAGATTTTCATGTCAAACAATGTCACCCTGGCTGATGTGCAGAATATAGATGGGGGAGGGGCGTTGGAAGCTATGTAAGTAATCAGAGAGACAGAGAATAAAGAAAAAGTTCTAAATGAAAGTGTTGCCTTAGAGAATAGAATAAATTCAAGTTTTCCTGGGTGACTCTAGGCCCCCTACTCTCTAGGGTGAGTGAAGGAGCATCAGGCAGACACATTGATATTTTGTTGATTAGGGAAGAAAAACTACAAAATGTTCCAGAGGAATACTGTTGAAGTTAGTATGTGTGCAGAATGCAGAGGTTTTGTAAAACATGAGGTCTGGAGATGTCATATGGGGAGAACACATATGGCAGGAACATCCTCTCACAGTCAGAATGAGAATGCTGACACTAAAACATTGAAATAAATTCCATATAGGTGGATGGCTTATTATCCAGAGTCAGTGGATACAGGAAGACAGAGAGAGTCCTCCAAGCCTGTTTACTTGGTGGTGAGTGTTCTAGAGGACAAATTACTATTTTGTCCCCAAAAAAAAAACCCTGAAAAGTTACAAATTTTATCATCAGACCATTATTCAACTTAGATGGATCAATGAAATGGAAAGCTTGAGTGAAATGAGAAAACATCCTTTCATCCTGGATGGAAACTCCAGTCCCAGATATCGTATAACTTTCATCAGAAAACTCCAGTCCCAGATATCGTAACATTCATCAGACCTTTGCTCACTCACCACTGTGGGCTAATCAACAAGCCGTATTTGAATGAAATCTTCGGTTGAGTTTTATTACATTCTTTATCACAGCTGCCACCACACAAATATAAAGCCTTGTGGAGTGTTTGTTATCAGTGTGGGGCTTTCTCATAAATGTCACTGCATCTCCAGAGCTAACTTCTCTGACAAAGACAGATAAAATTACCTCCAACCAACTGGAGAGAACCCTACAACTAGAAAAAAAGAAAATATGCCGAATGTGGTAAAATCAATTAAGTCTTAATCTACCCAAGGAATGGCATTCAGAGCTGTAACTTTGTGAAACAGCTCTCCCTCCTGTGCGAAGATGAAGTAGACTTTCTTGCCTGCCAAAAATGATGAAGTGTTACAAGAAACGTTCCCATTTTTAAATCACTGAGGGTGCTACACTTGCTATTCAGAATTTACTCCTCGGGATTGCTTTTTAGCTGAACCACATCCTCTTGTAAACCTCCTTTGCTCCATTTGTCTTCAGGAAGCTGCCCCCCTACTCTGTCTCCCACTGAGATTTGTGAAGCACTCAAGCTAGAGTGTAACCTTCTTAAGAACATCTCTCAGAAAGAGACGTGACAATTACTGCAGCGATACCTACATAAAGCACTGTGTTTCCTGAGTATAGTGTTGTCATCGTGGGACTGTGAGCCACTGCACGTCATGTACGTTCGATGCTATTCACTTTTAGGTCGATTGTACCTGGCAAAGGGACCACTCAGCACAGGAGACACAGAATGTGTATTGAATAAATAAATTAATAATGAAAGAAAGAAGGAATGAAATAGAGAAAAGAGAAATCTCCATTAGTGAAGACTTAGAATTGTTTACTGCATTCCCCAAAGTCTCTTCATTGGTAAGAAATTTTGCAAACTAGAGACGTTTCAACCAGCACAATGGCACGTGTGCGTTCTGCTTAAGTCTCTCATGATTCTTCTGCTTAAAGTCAGACAGAGGAAGACAAATATCATATGATATCTCTTATATGTGGAATCTAAAAAAGTGATATAAATGAACTTATATACGAAACAGAAACAGACCCACAGACATAGAAAAAAAACTTATGGTTACCAAAGGGGAAAGGGGTTGGGGGAGGAATAAATTTGGAGTTTGGGATTTACATATCCACCTACTATATATAAAATAGATAAACATCAGGGACCTACTGTACAGCACAGGGGACCATACTCAATGTCTTGTAATAACCTATAAGGGAAAAGAATCTGAAAAAGAATATATATATATATATATATATACACACACATATATATAACTGAATTACTTTACTGTACACCTGAAACTAACACAACATTGTATTAAATCAATTATACTTTAATTTTTTTTTTTAAAGTCAGGATATTAGACTATGTGCATTAAAAAAAAAAAAAAGATTCTATTCCTGGAACAAAACATGGGAAGTGCTCTGAGTTTGTCCTTAATGAGGACAGTTCACGATATGTGCTATGAGGACACACCTGCTTTCATGATGATCAGAAACATGCCACTCCTATCCATATGTCTTAAAGATTTCATCTGCATTAGCCTGGGATATATTTTTTTAATTACAAAACTTCAGTAGCTTGAATATTTATTTTTAGCATTTAAAGGTACAGCATCTTTTTTGGGTGATGCCCAAAGGTTTACACATTTGTCTATGTCACTACCTTCTGATGTAAACTGGGAAAAACCACTTTGTCTCTGAACCTCAGTGTTCTCATCTTTAAATTCTGGGTGCTAAATAGGTGATTGCCAGTTCCTTATGTCGTTGGATGAAGCAAAAATCTCTTCATTGATAAATGATGCTGTCTCCAAAAAAAAGAGTTCTTCCTTTTTGGAATCTCCTGCACTGAGCCACACCTGAGGCAGAAGTTACACCTACAGGGATGGTAAAAAT